ACTTATCTTAGCAAGCATAGTGAAAAGACCCACTGCACAGATTTTTTTCCTTGTAAACCCTAAAAATTAAAAAAAAAAGTAACAGTAGCTGGCATTTATCATTTGCTTGTATGTGTCAGAGAAGGTGCTGAAAATTTTTTACATGGGTTATCTCATTTGATTCTCACCACCATTCACTATTATTACCATCGTTTTACAGATGTGAAACTTGAGGCATACAAAAGTCAAGTTTGTTGCTTAAGATCACACAGGCAACAGGTGGTGAAACCAATATATCAGCCAAGTCGAACTTTACAGGCTGTGCTGTTAACCATAACACTAATAGTGGCAGGTGAACAATCCTCTAAAGTACCAGACACTCATTACAAAACACTTCGGTGGCAGGGTGGAAGTATCTCACACTTTGAAGTTAATTTAATAAGTCTGGTTTTGATGCTGGTTCTGCTATTTATTATCTATGCCATCACCTGATTTTGTGTTTTTTTTTTTTAATGAACCGTGGTGGTCTGCCCTATGAAGTGGAGAAAGATAACATCCACATTTGAAGAGTATTCTGATGATTAACAAATATGTGTGTGGAGCACTTAGTGTGTAGTATATGCTCAATAAGTGGTAGCTCTTATTAATTACTGACATCAAAGCTGCTCTCTAAAGGGTGCCATGTGGAGAGAGAAAACGAGTGAATGGTAGTGATCTCTAAAAACTAAGAGATGGGATGTCTGAACCCCTAGATAATCCATTCTAACACTGCATGCTAGAATGAACTTTTCCATAATTGTCTTCCCAGAATTGACCACCTTCCAGGGTTCCTCAAATCATGTGTTAGCCCACAGAATTAGTTGATTCTACACAAGAGATCATTTTAGTCTTGACTAAGCTTTAACCCAACTGGTTCACGATGGCTCTTCTTATTTAATTATTTGACAACGTATTTGTTAGCCTACTTACACGTCCATGAAAATTATGAAACTACTATGTTAGCTATGTTCAGTTTAACACAGCCCATACAAGACCCATACTTTTTGCACCTCCTGGCACCCCAAGGTAAATAAATGTCCCTGAGTAATGGGTGAAATGTGTATATCCATTGCCTTGGCTTGTACCTTAAAATTTGTAACAAATAAATGTATTCTTTTCACTCACAGCATCGGGTTCACACGATTCTGACGGCAGACCTCGTTATTGTGATGAAGCGAGGAAATATTTTAGAATATGACACTCCAGAAAGCCTCTTGGCTCAGGAAGATGGTGTATTTGCTTCTTTTGTTCGTGCAGACATGTAAAGGGATGTCTTAAAACAACACACGTATTTAAAATGATGGAGTCGTGACCTACTCAATGGGTCATCATCTTGACCTTCATAAAGTGCCATCTTAAACGTTTACCCAGTTTTATAAAGCTTATTCGTCACATTGTAGTACTTTTTAATTAGTAACAATGTCACTTTACCAGTAAATATTGTATTTCCTATGTCGACATTTCTTCTTCCTACTTTGTTTTATTTTTCCAGATGTTACTACCTAATATATTCATTACTAATTTTTTTCTAATGATTA